CTGATAGATATTGCAGATAGATGTGACAGACAGATAAATTGCAGCTCATGTCCTCTCTGCTGCACCAATGAATGAGCCTTCCCTCCTGTGTCCACATCTATCCCATTTGCCATGTGCTAAGGATGGTATCACAAGCGTTGTGCGTTTTAACACACACAGACAAGTATCTCTCCCTCTGCTACAGCCAAGTAAAATGAAATAGTCAGGTGACTAAAATGGACAGTTAAGGCAGATGCTTTTTCTTTCGTCATAATTTGAAATATAACATTTCCAGGCACTGCATGCCATTCAGTTCTTTTCCTTCCAGCTCAATCTTGCATTCTGGAACCAACCATTATGCTAACGATCTCCAAGGGTGTAGCACTCCTGTTGCTTAGTAACACAGGTTTCATAATCTGCAGAAGGAGCACTGGAGAGCAAGACCCTGGAGTTGGGGAAGACCTTTCGCCACTCCTCACCGGCACGCTCACACGAGCTTCTCCAAGAGCTGCCATTTCCATCGAGGAAGTACGATTCAGAATTCACAGGACTGTGGAAAGGAAACTGTCCTGTGTTTCGTGCTCATGGGTTTATTTACAGACTGAAAGACTAATTCATTATTCAAAGAAGAGCAGACAGAGGACAACAGCACAGTAACAGACTATGAATTCTCTGCCCACACTACTGAGGAAACCCGAGCAGCTGCTGACATCTGCACCTCACCCTCTCGGCCTTTGGAGCTACTTAGCAGGTAAGATCATACACAGGGGCAGCCTGGCAGAATTGTTTAGATGAAACTGTTCTTGCTTATTCTTGGTGGGCCTTGGTTTTGCAAGTGACTTTGCACTGTGTGATAGTATGGTGGCCCTGAAGTCATCTGGCAAAGTAAGAATATTAAGAATGGAAACTTTTCTCAAACTATGAACTCATGGTAGAATTTAGTCTAAACCTGCCTGTTAGCAAGAGACTGCATTTAAGACAGTCAATGAATTAACTTCTTCCACAACACATCCTATCCAACAATAAGGAATGGTAACAGGTCTGTAAGCAAGGAAGTGGAACTGTTTGTCTTCATGCAGAATCATTTGCTGTACGAATGCTGGTTTTAAGCTCTGCATGCAAGTATTTCATTATAGATGACCTATTCCATGGGTGAATTAGCACACATCACCTCACAGCCTTCCTGCCACCAGAGGTGCAGGGAATGCAGAGCTCAACTAGCCTTGGCAGGCCTGCTCTGCAGCATGCAGAATTCCAAGAGCAAAGACAGGAAATTTCTCACAGCATAGTTCAAGATGGGCTCAAGATGGTTCTGTGCAGCTTTGGGTGTTGCAGTGAATTAGGAAGCACCAACCCTAGAAGAAAATAATAGGCAGAACCACGGAGAAGGACGTCCTGAAGCACCAAGCAGTGCTACAGGCAGAAGGCCAGCTCTTCTCCTGCCTGGGCCAGGAAAGGAAAAAGAAATGTCCAGGGTCCAAATATGCAGTCTTTTAGGATCAGATCTTCTTCTTAGGGCAGGCTTAAGATACAATGGGTCATGACTGACCCCTGTGCCAGCAAGTGCTTAAATGCAGATAAGGAATAATCCCCAATCCTTCCTTGCCTCAGAGAGACACTGACAGTCTTAGCAGTGATGCTCAGTTCCGTCCCTGCAGCTCCCAGCATCACTGACAGCCTGACATGCTTGACACACATTTTCTATTAATTTCTGTATTGGACCAATCTCTAAACTCTGGGACTGTTAAACACTCCTAAAGCTCTGGGCTTTCAAAAGCCTATCCAGGCCAAAGATTCTAACAAATGTGGATAGAAAGGGAAAGGGTTTTCTAGTCAAGATCCGTTTTAGTGAGACCTTGTCACAGAAATACTGCACCCTCCACCCAGGAAAAGGCTTGCTAACAACTCAGGGGGTGAACCTGGCAGTGGGGTTTAGAGAAAACAGGTGGAAAGTCTCATCATCATTTCTTAGGTGGTAGGGTAGGACATGTACCTCTCTCCCTGCTGTTCCAGGACATGCACTGTAAGACTGAACAGGCATAATTAACATTTAAGCAAGGAGGACTCCTGTGATTCCTGAATTTTTAATATCAGTGGCTACAGAAGTGGGGCCCTCTTACACAGAGCCAAAGACAATGAGACACGGCTAAGTAAGCTCCATTATCTCCAGCTACAGCCCTGTAAAACTGATAATTAGTTTACAAGCATGCAGAGGCAGGAGAGCTATTCATCCTCTTCAAATTGTCAAGCACACTAAAATGTTTCTGCAGTCCTGTAGTACTAATCTCTATTTTTGGAATTGCAAATTATGTTTTTCTAAGTTTGAAATGTGGCTCCAAGTATTAACCCAAACTAAATAGCACTTAGAGTGAGTACTCCCTAGGGACTTGATCATCTGAGAGGTTCACAGCTGGATTTTAAAAAACCTGACTAATGAAGGCTGTGAGAAGAAATCTTTGGAGTCTGGACATTATGCAGCGCATCACACAAAAAGATCTGCCTTGACAAAAACCACACTGATCTGTTTGCTTGGACTTCTTCAAAACCTGAAAGGGGCAGGTCCAAAGTGTGTAACAGCTTGGAAAGGGTTATTGGCAGGGAAATAGTGAAGCCCAGCAGGCTGACCTGGCGCACTCGTCCTGCCAAGGCTCGTACGCCAGGCTCCCTCTAGCGCTGCCGGGCACGCACAGCGCACAGCGACCCGGCACGGGCACCCCGCTACCACCACAGCGGCACCACCCCGCGACTCTCTGCCTCCATGGTATTCTTGGAAATAGGAAAGGAAACCATTTTGGCTCAATGTTTCCCCCTCGGATTTTAAATGAAAAGTAACAGAAAAAATTTATGCGGGATGGAATACAATGTTTTCTGAGATTTAGACATGTTTTTAAAAAGATTTTTACAAGAAATTATGATTTTGAAATGAGGAAAAAAAACAACATGCTTTTCCTTGAGGCTTCCATTCATTTTTTAAAGGCATGCTTGTTTGAGAAGCTTCACTTATCAAAAAGCACTGAATTCTTGGTCAAGCCATCCAACACAAAATTCAAACAAAGAAAAAGTCGCACTCAAAGGTCACCTGGTTCATGTCAACTACAGGAAGCAGAAAGTCCCTTTCCATATTCCATTTCCAACACATAAGAAAGCTCCCCTATAGATCTTTTTCTGAAGCATGGTAGTCACCCCACTTCTGTGCACCAGAAAGGACTCAGGGTATCCTGTACCAGCAGTAGGGCCCTGGCATTCCCCATACTGCTCAACTTTATCTTCACAGAATTGCCAACAAGAATATTGCATAAAATCCTTAAAACGAGTGAGCTGTGATTAGAAAACCCTGCTGTTTTGATCTCCAGAACTTTCTACTCACTCCTGGGGAAATTATTTATACTAACATCAACAAAGGTTGAAAGAGTACTTATTTACACTGTACAGTACTTGAGTTCAGTTACCAGTCAACATATGGCTAGAATAGCATTGACATTGCCTCTTGGTAATATGGTTCTGTAAGTACTCATGAGAGACAGAAACATGGGAGTGACACACAGAAACATTTAACTGTGTTTAAATATTTTCATATAAAATAACACAAAACCTATTTTGGAACACGCCCTCAGGGCAAGACTGAATCCACTGCACTGCTTCCAGTATTTTATGAAGCATCTGCCTCATTACAGAGCTCTTGGGAGAGTGAGTGGTAGCTGGATTAATGCTTTTGCATTATTTTGGGCTATGGCATGTAATTGAAAAGAAGCTGAAATGCCTTAGTTGTAGCTTGAGCTTCCCCTTCATGTATTCACACATGATTAATGAGTAGCCAAAAAGCCTGAAGGGTTTGTAGAGAAGTCTTTCTAATAGGGACATGTATTGTCGACAAATCCATATTTTGTCCTAAACAATCATTCATCAAAGCTGCAATTTGACTCTTCAAAATTAAATGCCAGAGCACCTAGACCTGAGATTACTCAGCTGTAACCTGTGCTCCTCTCTAAACTCTCACTGGGAGGGACATTGTCATCCATTTCCAGGGAATCAGCCTATTTCCTTTGCCACTAGCTATAATTAGCAGCTGTATTTGATGACCTTTGATTAGAAAGAGTTCACTATCCTGACAGTAAGTGGACTATACTCTTACAGGCCTCGTTCCATGTAACACATGCTGAGCATCAGTATGAGTCAAAACTCTGACTATTACACCTACATGCATTTTTCTGAGGGCAGGGCACCTTTGCAGTGGGAGACCCTCTATCCCCCAGCATGGACAAAATAACAAGGTTAGAGTATCCAGAGGAGGAGACACTTAGCAAGGCCTGGTTTAACATGGCATTAAGCAGCACTGGCATCAATCCCTGTTGCAGTTTGCCCTGTAGGTGATGTATGAACTGCCAATAGTTCTGGCAAGTCTGGGTGCCCACCATGTTCCCGAGTCCTGCTCAAAACAAAATGATTAATAATTTCCTTTAAACTTTTAATCTTTCAAAAACATCCAGAGCCCAAATCTCAAGTCCATTACACAAGAAATTTAACCAACCTGTTAGCAAATGCCAGGCCTGTAAATATGGCATCTGCTCATCTAGGGTAGAATGAGACAATTTTGGATAGCTTCTTTTAATGCAGTCTCTAAGGACTGTGTTGAGACCCACAGTATATTTTTCTCCAATCCTCAACTGGCTGATGGATAATAACATATTTCATTCCGTTTCATTATATCCTAAGATCAAATCGGTATTTAGGAATGAAAGACAGCAAATGTCTGTCACTTGTAATTTCACACTATAATGTAATATAGATGTTACATTGTGATGAAATAATATTGTAAATTATTAGAATTTCACTACTGAAAATACTTTCAGGAAGAATTTTCAGAGTTGCAGATTAGCAGTTGAAAAATTCTGGCCTCAAAAGAAAAATTCTGAAAAGTCTTGCAGTTATATTAACATATAACTGTGTGATTAACAGCTGGGGCTTTCAAAGGCTTTATTAGAATTCTCACATTTTATCCACAGAGTCTGGTGTGTCTGTCCATCAGGAGAGAGATGCCACCCAAGGGAAAAGGTCCACAAGGGAAAAGGATCACCTTGAAAGTGGCCAAAAATGCAGTCCGGGTACTTTTTAATGGAAGGCGCCGTCTTGAGTTAAGCAAAATGGGCATTACCACCTTCCCCAAGTGCCTCCTGGAGCTGGCTGATGTGGAGGAAATTGATCTGAGCAGAAACATGTTAAGAAAGATTCCAAACATCATTGAGAAGTTCCAGAATCTGGTGTGGCTGGACCTGCACAGTAATCAGATTGAGGAGCTGCCAGCAGAAATAGGCACACTTCAGAACCTTACTTTCCTGAATTTATGCAACAACAAGCTGACCACAAAAGGTCTACCAGAACAGCTGACCCAGCTCAGGAACCTGCGTACTCTCAACCTTGGCTTGAACTGTCTTGAGACTATTCCCACCACTCTCGGGTCTCTGAGGGAACTTGTTGAGCTAGGTCTCTTTGACAACTCCTTGACCATCATCCCAAAGAGTGTGAAAAAGCTCCCCAAGATTGAGAGAATGAATGTAAAAAGAAACCCTTTACCAGAATTTGCAAAGGAAGAGGAGCCAATTGACACCGTTAAACGCATAGAATCACTTTACTTAGTAGAAAAGAAAGACCTGTGCAGCACCTGCCTGCAGATGTGTCAGGGTGAGAGGGATGAGCTGCACAAGTTAGAAGACATGACACCTGGCCCCTCAGATAAGCCAAATTTCACTTCACTCACTACACCCAATTCCACTGCAAGGGATAACCAAGAAGAATGGAGAATAAAAGAAGAAGAAGATGACAATCCTGAAAATATACCAAGACACTCTACAGACCATATTCCAGGAAGTCCAGCCCAATAAAATACAAATAAAAAGCTGACCTCCCTCCTCCTCCATTTTCGTGCAGTTCTGCTTCTTTAAAGATCAGCTTCATTTTAGAAGCAGATCTCTGTGGTGTCTAAAATGAAAACCAGAACAACTAAACCAGATATGTATTTACATCTGGGCCTGTCCCTACAAACTGTTCTCCATGTTTGGGCTTTTTGGAGTTTTTTGTGTGCGCAGCGTCCGGTGAAGGGATCTTTTAAAAAATAGGATTTTCTAGTAAATCCATTCCCACCACTAAGCCCCAAATATTATTTCTGTTCATTTTCATAGGGTGAGACACAGTTGAACTAGTCTCAGGAATTACCATTTGGAGGAAAAGGCAAAGACCTGGGAACCTTCTGCTGCTGGTGGCTGCCACCAAGCTCTCAGAGTGTCAAACAGGCACTGGCAGTGTAGGAACTGCAAGCCTTTTCCAATTCAGCAGAGACAGCAAACAAGTGTTATGCACAGGAGTAACTAAGCAGTGCAAACACAGTGCTTAGAGATAGATGACCAGTGATCCTGCTTGCCATCAGGGGGCCAGATTGTGCAAGTTCTATGGGATTTTGAGTGCTATACCTAGGTGCAGCAATCTCCAAGTTGCACAACACAAACAGCACAACTGCCCATACTCATAGTGTTCTGTCAGCCTCTGAGTGTCTCTCCAAGGAAGATGTAGAAGGGGTAGGAAAAATATTTCTCTTTTCAAGGGTCCCAGGCTTATCACTTAAGCAGTGACTAAAGTGATTAAGAGAAGAGTCACTGTTTTCCATGATCCAAGAGTCAGCTTCTGAATTGATGAAGTCAGGATTGACATCTCCACTTTTAGCTTTTTTAAAAAAAGCACTTTTAGCTTTCTGTTGACATATACATATGCACATGTGCATCTGAGCACACACATTCACTCACTGAAATCACATCCTTAGGGCAGAGAGTGCTGACGTCCTGCAAACAGCAATATACAAGGGACAAGCAATGAGCAGATTATAAAAGCACTCAAGTGTGACATGAGAAGGGCTGGCAGTGGCCATAATAACCTATGGTGACAGCAAACATTTAAGTATATTTGAATGAAGAATAAAGTGCCAGGAGCACTTTATTTTTTAAATGACTACAGTAAAGCCTGGGAGTCAGAACTCCCGTGTATCTCCTATGGACTAGGTGAAAAAACTGATAAGGGATTTTCCAGAAATTTTATTACCTCAATGTCATATGATGCATCAAACTAGTAATTTCTTCTTTCCATGCTTCAACTGTGCAATTAACAGTAAAGAACTTAACAGTAAAGAATTGGGCAAAGAATTTAGTCTGGCCTGCCTCTTTGTCTCAGGTATGGCAGGAAAAAACTGGAAAGCTGTGGAAGTCGGCCATTGTCCCCCTAGATGGGGAAGAAGCCTCAAGTGCTGCTTTTGAAATTTTCTAACTCTGAAACCGCTCCACAATTCAAACAAGGGAAAAGTAAACTCATCAAGTCCTCAGGCTGTTGGTTCTGACTGGTAAAGGGAAGCACACTTACTGAGGTAATTTCCTCTAACTTTCCACTTAAACACAACTTTTCTGGCTTCAATACTTCAGCAGTGATTATAATAAATGTTTATTCTATTTCAGTTCATGCTCTAACATGGTCCAGCCAAAGGTATGCCAAAGGCCCTTTATTGTTCTCAGAGTGATTAAGTTGCATAGGGCCTTCTCTCAGGCAGTGGAGAAAAGCTGAAGGCAGAGCCTTACTGGGATTCAGGGCAGACTACTTTAGACCCAGGCATGCAGCCTGTCTCAAATTCTGAGATTAACCATGAGTCAAGTGTTTCTTGCAACTGTAACCAGCCCAGTTAATGCTCAAATTTCTTGATGCTGTAATGCATCTTCTCTCAAGACATTGACACCTCTTGAGCTGCCAGCAAGCAGGGGGAAAGGAAATATTAGAGGGAGTTAGTGTTTACACAGAGCAGACACCATGCTCCACAGCCAGCCATCACCTCTGGCATAGGTTAGGCTCTAGCTGGGGCTGGTTCTGCACTGATACTTTTTGCCAGATGATGACTGGAACTCAGGGGCGAAAATGATCACTTACAAGATAGGTAATGATCTGCAACAGGTAGGCTGAAAATTAAAATGGGTATAGCTGACACAGGGTACAACAACTCAGGGGCAATGTGTGCCTCAGCTCTCAACACAATTCCAGCCTCAGCAATCATTTCAGAGGACACCAATTGGGCATTTAGGGCTGTGTTCCCCAAATTGAGAAAAGTTACAGTAACTCATGGTATGAATGAAACATTCTTTCAAGCACCTCCCACTAGGAAAAAAACGTTTTTCCTGCAATGGTAAATCTGAGAGACAAGTTAGAATCTCCACTGTGCAGTTAATACAACATGATAAAACAGCCCTCCAAGCACGCAGTGAAGAGATCATTATATAAAAGCATTATGGATTAGCTCTGTCCTCACCTCAGTGTCTCTTCCCACAGTAACCATCTGTGTAGAGTTTACCAATAAAGTGATATTAAGGAAGTAATAATTATTAATCATCTGTGCACAGTCAGCTTTTTGACACTCATCTTCATACTGTGGTGAAGTATGCTACAATGCTTTTTGAAATTCTGGCAACACCTTTGAATCTTTAAAAGGAAGGATACAAACATTTCTATATGCTTTTTTTAAGGTGCAACTTATATAATTGCACTTACTACAGTTATCCAATGTTTCTTATATTTTACCTTATATTTAGGGATTCTTCTGTTATGCCCTTCGACTTCAAAGCAGGTTGGAAAGAGCAAAATCTACAGGAGATATGAAAGATCACATTATAGTTATGCAAATGGTTATTAGAACACATTACATCTATAGATACATATCCATATCTATATAACTGCTATGTGCTCACAACTTCCTTCAGGAAGCCTCAGCACTGCCCTGAGACTCTAACCTAGGACAAAGCTGTAAGACAACAGGCAAAAGCATACATCTAATATTAAGGACTTGCTATGGGCTGGATAAAAGCAGTTTCTTTCCCCAACAGGACTTTGCATTTACATACAGGGTTATGGACTTTTGGTTTAAGGTGCTATTCAAGACAGGGAATAAGAACCCACTCAGACATTTATTTAGCAAAAATGGCAGAAAGAGCACCATGAGAAAGTCTCATCTCAACCATTCATATTTACATTTGCTATGGGTTTATGATATCAGACAAACTACACCCTTGAAATATATAGTTTTGGTGATCTTTAGTTGAGGATTAAAACCTTGTCTTGAAGTGCCTTTGAAAAATTCCCCCAAGAGATAGTTGTCAGAACTCAAAGACAGCACAGATAAGGGCTGGCTCTGGGGCAGATCCTGGTGATTCTAAGTAGCCACACTATACAGCCTGTTTGGATAAACCTGCACTTTTCAATGCAATACTGCAATAGGGATTGCTCAGAGATTTCAGGAGCAGAAGGAATTGCTATGATTCTTTAGAAATTAACAGTACTAGTGCTCAGTTCAGGCTGCAGAGTTTAGTATAGGAAGCACTAGTACTGAAGTGGATTTTCCTGTGTAAAGGCCAGTGAATACAATCCTGATATAATGACCAGAACTGCAGTAGACAATAACATGCAAGAAAACAAAGTTCAAATTAATCACTTCATAGTCTTACATTCAATTTCCATTTAGCAAGACAAGCACTTACAGAGAATTTTTTTTAAAAATGCCATTGTTAAAAGTTAACTCTAGAAAGATAAGGTTGGAGAGACAAAAATATGTTATTCCCAAGGAATCTAGTGATACTGTGAGAGTTGGAAGAAAGCAGGAAGAAACCTTCTTTCACCCAGTACTGTGAGATGAGGTGGAGGTGGCTCTCATCTCAGTGGGAGGAAGGAAAACAGCTACAGTCAAAATTTCCTGGGACGCAGGGATATACGACACACCACTGGCTGCTAGAAAAGTCCTACACATTAGATCCCTTGATAAATCAATGGCTGTATAATGATCCAAAGAGTTCAGCAAAAGGAAAGTTTCACAGCTAAAGTGTAACCCATTAAAACTTAAGGAAAAAAAGGAAAATAAAGCTCCAGCAGCAACACAATACAGACATCTGACACCAGGAAAAATAAGGGTGGTATAGCAGGAGCATCACCAGGAACATTCCCACGTTATTGTGAGCTAGTCATTACCTTTTAAATATCTTATTTCGGTCACTGTCATGGAAGACAAGAAATCTGGAGTAACCATTTTTGAAGAATATTTCCAAGGCGATCTCCTGGAAAGGTAAATAATTCACAGTGTGAGGAGCTGCAGAGCAAAGCCCAGTGCTGCAAAGGGTCCATCATGGCCTTCCAATTCTTCAGGGCTTTAAAAAAAAAGACCTCAACTTTTTTGACAAATGTGCAGAACTAAAGCAAAATATGTCTAACATTCTAAATTTTGTCAATTGTAGGGATGGTCCTAGGTGACTAGGAGTTCAAACATTTCTTTGAAGCAAAACCAAACTCCAGATATTGGTTCCATCACTCACCTTTTCCTGCTGCTTCTGAAACATTTTTATTGTGAAATCTCAGTGTGATTAATAAGACAATAGTAGCATTAATTTCCAACTAGGTGATAAAGATAACACAAAGAGGGGATTCTAAATAAGAGTTTCTTTTAGAAAGAAATCATACTGCTTTCTAAATTAAGACAAAGCTCAACAGAACTGCCAAATAATTTCTCCTGACTAGAAGCAGCAAAGGAAGAAGGGGAGTTTATGACATTTTGCAACAAAACTTTGAGGAATTAAAGTTAAAAGAAAACTTCACTCCCTTTCCCCCCTCCCTGGAATGTCTCCATACATCATTTTGCTGGGCATTTGAATATAATCCTATTATTTACTTAGTGAGAGGTCCTATTTTCCCCCAAGTCATTCAAGTAAAACTATAAATAACATGTAGTGTCTGGGAACTCAGACATGAGTTTCAATCCAAATGTGGCAGGTGCAATACAAACCTAGAGAAACACTCCGATGGCAGGTGGCCCATATATGATTCACAAATAAAATATAAAGCAAAAAGGTAACACGAGAGCAGAAATGGCAATAAACAGCTTGCAGCATTTGCTCTGAAGCTCAGCTTTCCAAATGAGGTCTGCTCAAATGTTGCCATTACAGAACTGGGCCAGTGCTTTGCTCTGGGCTGGGCTGTGTGACAAGAGGAGACCAGCTGAGGCAGTCACTGCCTGAACATCTCATCTACTGTCCTGCAGGGAAAGCACAGGGAACCAGCCTTCCTCTTGTTCCACAATATTTTTTCAAAGAAGTTTGTGGCATAGAGTCCCAGCACAAGCCTGATACAGATACCTGAGTTTTCAGTTCATTAACTGAACAAAACAACCCTGGAACAACCAAAAAGAGGCCATGGAACAACAACAAAAAAACCCAAACCACAAAACTCCTCAAGCCAATAAGCTCACCTTTGCCCCAGGACCATTCAAAGACTTTCTATTCATCTTCACTTTTCACTTTGGGTCACACCAAAAATTTCTATTTTGTGTGTTTAAAAAAATCCATGCATACACAA